GCCATCTTTTGCACTCTCCTCTTTCACCCTCATCTAAAGGCTCTTTAGTTCTTCTTCACTTTCTACCATTAGGGTGGTATCATCTGTATATCTGAGGTTGTTGATGTTTCTCCCTTGCAATCTTAATTCTGGCTTGTGATTCTTCCAGCCTGGCATTTCTCATGATGTACTTTCTACCATTAGGGTGGTATCATCTGTATATCTGAGGTTGTTGATGTTTCTCCCTTGCAATCTTAATTCTGGCTTGTGATTCTTCCAGCCTGGCATTTCTCATGATGTACTCTGCATATAGGTTATATAACTTTCTAAAATCAACACTTTAATGACCCTTTGGCTGATTTTTTTTTTTTTTTTGGCAAATCCTTAAACTTGTACTTAAAACTTCTGTCATAAAGGATTGAAGGAAGCTCACCCAATGAATACCACATAACTTCTTGTTCTTGAGGTTCTCAGTATTTAGAAAGCAATAAAAATTAATTCCAAAGTGATTAAAAAATGAGGCTTGGCCGAATCTTATGTCCACAAAGGCTACATTATGACTATGAGCTTAGTTGGATCATCCCTCAATTCCCAGCCACTTGACTTACAAGCAGATAGCAAAAATGTCAGTTCCTGACATCTACTCACGAGGAACAGCTGTCTGGAGTACCTGTAGGCAATCTCACAATCTCTCCTTTCTCTGGAGAGATTTTGCCAGCCTGGATCCCACATCCAGACACTGATTTCAGCTGTAATGTCACCTTGTTTCTTCAGGGACATCTTCAGTTCACCATGTCCTTGCTGGAAGTTCTAGTCTCTTCTTCCTCTTCTCCTCCTCCTCCTGGTCACTGATGAGAGAGCTGGCTTTTTTAATTGTTAGCCACGTAGCCTTAATTCACTCAAGGTAGAATTTCTCAGCTCCAGTTCATTGCTGAGCCAAGCTATTGTTTCCTCTGTTTTACCCCTGTCTCCTGCAAACTCCTTTAGGCTTTAAACAGAACCCTATAGGGTACACAGATTCTAAAAATTATTTTAAACACTACTGTATGGAGATTCTTCAGGAAAGCCTGCTTGTATTGTTTCCCAGAGTTAGCTTGACACAATAC